TAATAAAATTATAAATTTAACCTTTTATCTTTTTCTCATTAATATGATCAAATCTAATGAAATTTTTAATCTAACTATCAAATTCTATTATATAATAATACCAACATATAATTTCATCTTGATTAACTTTAATTACTTGCTTTTTTGCATCATAAGCTTTCTGATATAAACTTGATAAATTTAGTAAGATTTTACTTTTTGATATGAAAAATAAAATAGGATTATCTTTTTCATTGCATATCTGAGTTAAATTATTAATTACATAATTTTTGATGAATATGTTCACTAAAATTTTGAAATCATCACAATTTGGATCTTTGATAGATGATGATATCTCTTATATTAAACCTTGTTTACATGAAATATTAGGAATACTATTTTCAGAAATTAAGAGTAATTCTTGATCTTGAAGTTTCTTCTCTCTAATTCTCTGAATTATCTCTTTACTAACCTGTTCTTCATATATTGAATTTATAAATTTGTCTATTTTTTTGTCTTTCAATGACTTACTCTTTGTACAGACAAATGATGCAGGATATTAGGATGAAAGCTCCTAATATATATCAGAATTTAAAGTATTATCAAATATATTAATTGCAAGAGTATTAATAGTATAGTCATGAGTTTCTGATTCATCACAATGTAAGTTTGTCTATTCAGGAGTATTATTAGAATTTTTCATTTTAATAGAGATGATATTATCTGATTTAGATACAGAAGTATTAGCAGAGCTGATATGATCATTACTTCATAATATAATATAGTTGCTTTTTTCTTTGTCAGATTATAACTATTTCTGTTTCAATTTCATAACCCTAGCTTTAAATTTGGTATTTTCTAAAGTAATATCTTTATCATTCTACTCTAGTTTCATAAATCTGGATTCATGTTCTTCTAAACCCTGTTTTAATTTTGCATTCTTAGTTTTAAGTTCAATATTCTTAAACTTGATCTTAGTATTTTTCTGTCTAAGTATATCATTCTCAGCTAAAAGCTTGAAAATTCATTCTTCTAATGAAGAGACAGAGTTTCAAGTTTGTAACTTATCAACTTTGGATTATTTATTTGCCATTTTTTTATATTTTATAAAAATATAGATATATTTAATTCTTTATTATATTAATATAAACTAATAAAATTTTAGCAAATATGTTTACCAAAAAATATCAAGAAAAAATAAATATATTTACACAAAAATCTTTATTTAACCAATGATTAACTAATATATTTATTATTATACAATGACTCTTCAAGTTTATATTTTAAAATAGCTAAATCTATATAATTATTTTTACTATATAAGTATCAAATTATATACTATCAAGTAGTAGATTCTTTACTTTCAACCCACATCTGGCATGTGATAAATCTATAAACAAGTAATGATTATAATTAGTAATTTTAATAATATATGTAATATAATGAAAAGATTAACATAAATGTACTAGTCTCCTATTAATTTTCCAGTATGATCCATCTAATTAGAATAATTAAAAAACTAGAAAATTATTAATCAATTGGGATCAGCATAAAAATATTTTAGAGAAATAATATTCTGTATCTTGTAAAATATATATAACTAAGTGATAGAAAGATAGTTGATTTATTGATAATATGTCATTCTATATTTGGATCATTATATAATTTATTTCAGATATGAAATCTATTTTAGGATGTATTATAAATATATAATTAATTTTCTGGAGTAAATATACTCTATTATATGTCAGATAAATAATACATGATATAATTATATAAATAATTATCTTATATAAAATAACAAAGTATATATTTATATATAATAATTTAATCACCAGGATTATCTTTATTAAGATAAATATGTATTAGAGATACTAGCTCCACTATAAGATATAAAAAAGTACATATAATAAAGTCTAATTATCATCTCATAGAATAGAAACTATAGTATTATCTTCTATTTGCTTTTGTGATGTGATAATAGATGCATTATATAGTAAAGATAAATTTATAATTATTATATTATGTAAAAGTAATAAAGTTTTTATAAATTTAGTTATAATGACTTTATCTGAAAATTATATAGGAATCTTAATAAATTATAAATGGTAATATTGATAAATATTAACTATATCTTGTACTAAAAAATTCAAGTGCAATACATTATCTGTTACTTGCATATTTATAATATCAAACTGATTCTTATCTATTTTAAGACTTTGGTATATCTAATATAGTTTGTTATTAGTTTCTTACCATAACTTAATCTTATTATCAATCTTTTTTTGTGAACTAGAAATTAAATAAGAGTATTCTATATATATGAGTTCAAAAACTATCTCTAAGTATTTCACTATAAATATAATATCTGGATATCTTTCCATATAATCTTCTTCCTTTCTATTAGCACTTGCAATACTTTATTTTTCTGATATACTAATAAAAAAAGCATCTCTGATAAGGAGATTTTTTAATAAAGCTTGAATAATAGGTATAATGATAATTGATTAGTATGTTCTCTCATTTAATATCTTTATGAGTTCAGAATCAAATGCTAAGTTATTCCAAATATCTTTTAAAATATTAAGAATTTCTTTGATCACGTATTTGATATCTTCTTTCAATTCTTTCTAAGTTTTATCATATATTAATTTGGTTGATTTTATTTTGATTTCATATCTCTTAAAATCTAATATAAATTCTCTATATATTTCTTGAACTATTGACATAGATATGGGTATCATTTTATGAATAAGTTTTTAATATAAATAATAAACATTATTAATAATATTAATAAAGATAATGTGATCAAATATATATATAATTCTTTATCATAAACTCTTTTCTTAAATTTTCTGATAATTTCTTTACAAGCTTTGATTCATCACTAATGATTTGACTAGTTATAAGATCTTTCTAAGATAATATCTCAATAGATATTGCTCTTATACTAAAATATAAATGTTAATATAGGGAGATCATATCTCTTTTGAGTTTTCTTTAAAGCTTAATTATATTATTTTTGATTTGGTCCAAGTTAAGAGACTTTTCTTTATTTATTTTAATAACCTCAAGATTATATAATATAAAAACTCTCTCAAAAGTATCTTCAAATTAAAAAATAAATATATATTAATTTTTAATAATAAAAAACTCATCATTAAAAAAATATATATATTATTAGTATATATGTAAAGTTATCATTTTTGTATGACCATTATGCCAATAAAACTCTATATAGTACTAATTTTCTATATAATAATATAACTCTATTATTCTCCATACAGATGATAAATTTTTCTCATCAATAGGTTAATAGAATAAATTATATTACTGCATAACAGTTTATAGCTTAGATATCTCTTTATTATTAAATAAGTATTTATCAAAAGTAGGTTAATAGGATAATTGAGCTACTTTTTGGTACATAAATCTAATAGTTGATCACATAATATCATCATATAATGAAATAATTTTGTAAAAAAAAATCAATAGCTAACTTGTAAATAAATTCTAAAAAGCTTTTGTTAATACAAAGATCCATCTGAATACAAATTACTAATATAACTAATAACTTGGTCTATAATTATTTTCAACTTATTTTGTAAAATCCAGAGATTTTTTTCTAAATCTTGATGAATAACAGATATGATATTTATATAGTACTCTTTGATATTGATCAAAAAATTATGAATTTTGATTTATAAATCAGCAGATATATTGATTAGTCAAGTTTGAAATAATAAAAGCTTTGTTATATTACAAGTAAAAAAACAAATGAATAATCATAATGCAAATATATTATTCTTTTAAAATACTTCCTCTGCTCATTTCTGATCTTATTTAAATATAAGAATAATAGATTTAGAAAATGTAAAACTAGAGTGATACAATACATAATAAAAAAACTTTTCACAAAGAAAATATATATACCATGAGTTGGATAATCAGATTTGGAATTTGTAACAATAATTAATGAATTACATAATTATATTATATATGCAGAAGTTTCATGATCTTCAATTTTCTTCTTTAAGTATTCATATGATGTATATTACAAAGTAATAATACTATATACCTGATCAAATATCTATGTTATATAATCAATCAGGAGTATCTCTAATAATTAGCAGATTATGTATTAATTAGCAAAAGTGATTAGTAAATTCCAAGAGATACTTTTTGGCACTTTCATTTATTAAAGAATGCAGATTAAAGACAAAACTATTATAAAAAGAAATTAATTAGGTTAGTTAGAAGATCAATTAATTTGTAATAATAATTAAAGTTGATGATACAAATAATAGATATCTGATTACTAATGTCAATATGGCAAGAGTAGATATTATTAATCTAATTAATATGTAACACATGGGGATTACCTATAACCTTTATTTGAAAAAATATACCTGAGTTATCCTTATAGACCTGCTTTGCAATAAAAAGTTCTGGCAATTTCTTGCCTTTTACCCCAAGTCTATAAATAAATTCTGATCCTTATAAAAAGATTGTAAAAACTCTTTACCTGCAAATTAAGAGAATAAAAATATTTGATATTAGTAGAACTAGCAAGGTTAATCTTCTCTATATAATAATTTCTCTAAAAATATCGAATCTGTCTATTTGTTTTGTACGAGTTAAGGTACATTTTTCATTTGTTTCTATGAGGCCACACTCGTGTATATATGCTAACGAACATTTTTTCCGGTTATAGATGCCTATGATCAACGTTCTGGAAAACATGCCTTTTATGATTCTATCTGCATCTTTGTTTTTCTTCCTCACGATGATATTTTCCGAAAATGCTCCTCTGTATATGGGAATTGTTGGCATATGCTTCTATGTCAGGCAAAAGGTTATCAACGAACTCTCCACACGTGAATCCAAAATTAATGAAAATATTGCTGTAGAATTTAATACTGAAATTAACGATAAATTTACCGCGGAAATCGCAAAACATCAACACACGTGATACCAACTACGTCACGGAGGCGCAGAGAATTTTAACGATGATCAATAACATGACCGAGAGACTTAATACAATCGAAGAAACTCATCATAATAATCTTGGTAGAATTGCATTCGAATTCACATCAATCAATGCTTCTATCTCAACGCTCCAAAACGAAATTAATCGGCATTATGCTCTTGTCCAAAGAATCGAACCTATTGAGGAAGCAGACCAATCCGAAGCTTCTGATTCGAGCCAACGTTCATTTTCCAAGAAATTTGGAACCAGGTTTAAAATTATTTTTGATAGAATTATGGCAGAAAAAGCGTGTTCTTAGATGAAATGTGTGGTATTGTATCCGTTGATATTATTAATCTTGGGGTGGGAAGACTTAGTATAGATATAATCAAAAATTATTATCGTAGAATTAATGATTTAGTAACTTAGATAAAATAGGTTCTTGGATCGATAGCAAAACAATAACATGCGAGTGGGAATTGTTTGTATTTCTGAAATCTTATATATAACAAAGAAAAAAAATTTTAGCAAAGCCAATGAAACAATATGACGCAGGGACTCGCATAAATGGCTTAGGATCCGCGTACTCCCTCCCTTGAAAGCATGTCATATATTTCGATTATTCTCTTAATTTTTTGGTACTTAAAAAAAATCAAAATCCCAAATCGTTTTATTTTATTATACGATCGATTACAACTGTTCGATTACATC